GACCTCTAAAACTAGTGTTCTGGAATTCGTTTGTAGCTTTTAGGAAATAGTTTTAGTTGATAGAACAAAATGATATGTTTCGGATCTCTTCATTGATCTACATTCAATTAACAGAAGGCCTCCAAGTATCAAACATAGAGAAACCATTGAAGTTTTTATACAAACAAAAGACAATTGGCTTCTTGGACTACCTGTCAATTGAATGTAATGCAACTAAAGAAGTTAATGAAGAGGTCGATGAAGTCTCATTTTATTCTATCAAATAAAACCATTTCCAAAAAAGTTTCAAATGAATGCCAGAAAACTGATTTTAGAGTTCATGGTTTTCCTAATGTCTTCATCCGAGCAGTTTTATTAGAGCTTTTAGCTCTACCAATCTTTTTAAATAATCTTTTGAGCTATTCAAATATTTTTTTTTTCAGATTCTTCCTAGCTATTAACATTGAGAAGTGAACTCAAACATATAATCGCTCTAAACTTTTGTCTGCCATTATATTTAGTAATAAAGAAAAAAAAATTACTTCAATAATTCTCGAGCTTTGTAACGCCATGGAGTTTGAGGTTCAACTAAAAGAATATCATAACCAGCTTCTTTACCCTAGAAAAAAAAATCATATTGATTAGCATTTAAAACAAAAATCAACATTGAACGTTTACCATTGCAACATATGGTTTCATTTCCCATGTTTGTGTATTTGTATTATCGATTATAATTGGAGATATATTCCGTTTTAATGCATCTGATGCTAAAAGAAAAAAGAGCTTTTATTTTAAAATATAATATATATATATATATTTATAAAACCTCGTCGACAAGTAAATCGATGTGCTTCATCTAATTTACTTGAATCAAATATATATTTATTTAAAGCATTATCGTTAAAATAATCATCTGCTGAGAGAATCAAACCATTATAACCATGATTGATTGACCTTTAATAAAATATAGTTTAACTTTTGATTGTTTTTATTCAATTTAAAACTAATGCTTACTTAGCTAATGTTGATTTTCCTGAGCCTAAATGAAAAGAACAACAACCAATTTACAATTTGTGTTGTAATACAAAAATTATATTTATGTACGACTTTTTAAGCGCAATAGAATATTGTCCATAAATTTCATTCACAGCTCATTTAACCATTAAGTGGCAAATTTCAAATTCGTAATAAGTTTAACTTCTGCATGTCAAAATTTTTGCAAATTTGGAAGCTCTCTACTAGTTTATATATTCTGCATATCAGAAAATAATGTCATAGATATCATTCGATTGGAAAATGATTGAAATACTAGAAATCAAAAACTTAACTGCTAGCCTCGCATACATTGAACAAAAACTATAGATTTACTGATAGTAGACCTTTGAATCACTAACAGAGAAACAATAATCAGGGATACACTGATACTACATATTTCTAGGTTTAAAAATATACAACAAGGCCAAATCATTGATTTGTGCTTTCATTAACGTGCTCATAAAGTCCTGCCTCGCAGAAGAAGACAAGAAAGAATTTAATAATAATTTGAGATTTGTCACGATCTCTATTTAATCAAATATTTCTCACGTCCCAAAAACTTCTACATAATCAATTCTAATAACCAGTTTTTCTGTATTGGATAATATTTAGACAAGTAAAACAAAATCAGACAAACAGTCCATAAAACAGTGCAACATTTAGCACTTTGAAAAGTCGATGCGGTTCCATTATTGAAGCACATAATATATTGTACTGAAATGTAAAAAATAACTGCAAAAGCTGAAGTCATAGTATTGGCCGAGAATTTATAAATAATGAGAAAATCATCAAATTTTTAGAAGCATTAAATAATCAGACATAGACAGATGTTTTATATGAAGAGTAAATGTTGTCTAATTTTCAGAGACTTAGGACAAGGCTATCAATCACAGAACAAAGAAATAACAAATAGAATCTGTTTGTTATATTTGAAAAATTCTAAATACAAATTCCTATTTACCAGGACATCCTCTCATAATAATTAATAATCGTTCATTATTATCAAGTCTTCTATGTATATCATCAACAATAATTTGATTATAATCATTTGTTATATGATTATCCATAATAATGACAAGATCATTATTATCTTTTTCATCGAAGTCATCTTCAGATGTAAATGTTGTTGTTGTATTTTCACCAGTTGATGTTAATGATAATGGAGGTGATACAGATTTATGTATTGGTTCATCTAATATTAATTTTTCGGATGAATTATCAGTTATAATACGATCAAATTTTTTTGTTTTTTTAGATTTTACTTCAATCCAATCATCATTTATTTGTTGTTGTTGTTGTTGTGGTTGCTGTTTTGGAAGAGAATTTGTTTCAGATGAAAGAAAGCCTCGATTATTATTACGATTATTATTAAACGATTGACGTCGATGAGAATTTGTATTTGAAGATGATGATGATGAAGCAGTATTTTGTGTTCGTTGTTGTTGTTGTTGTTGTTTAGTTGTTCGATCTCTTGGTGGTAATTGATTATTAATATGATTTGTTAATTGTTGTTGAGGTTGACGACGTTGTTGTGGTTGTTGCTGAGTACTAGTATTAATTTTAATTGATTTATTATTTTCAGATGTTTGAGAAATTATTGTTGAATATGCCAGAGGTGTTACTTTAACTGGAGACGACGATAAAGGTTTATTATTATTATCTTGACTAGATGATGATGTATTTGTTGATTCAATCTTTGAATTCAATTGAGATGAGAGGACGTTTGAACTATCTGTTTGTATTTGTGAATTATCGTTTGCATTATCATTATTATTATTAGTTGAAGGTACTTCAGATGCAGTATCTATTTGTTCCGAATTATCTTCTATATGATCGTTAACATTCGGTATGGTTTGAGTATTATTTGTTGTTGTGCTATTTAGTGGAGGAAAATGGGTTTCGTCGTTAATTAAAATATGATTATCTGATGATGGTGATGATGATGATTCATTATCATTTTGTGATGGAACCCATTCAGCAGCTTCAGGATTTAAAAATGAATTTGTTGATTGAGTGATTATTGTATTATTTACCATATATGTTGATGATGATCCATTCATTGAATATGGTGAAAAATAAGGATAACCATGTGATGTCATGGGTGGTGGTGGTGGTGCCCAAAGAAGTGGTGTTGCAGGTAGATTCATCATTTGTTGCTGGTAAGCAAGGTATTCAAATTCATCTACTGGACGAATATTATATGCGATATGACCTGGTTGATGGACGATAGGTGGATAAGTATAAAGAACACCGGGTGGTGTCGCCATTAACGGTGGTGGTAGATGTGAAAAATGATAATTAGCACTACCACGTGATAATATACTGCGGTGATGGCGACGACCATTTGTTATTGTTGATGATTGTGGTGTTGATTGTGATGTGGTTGATGATGCTTGTAAATTTGATTCATTCTCAGTTGTTGATGCTTGTCTTAAACGTGGTGGTAAATTTTGAGGAGATATTGTTGTTGAATTACCACTTTGATTATCTCGTGATGATGATGGTGATGTTGATGATGATATTTGTGATGATGATGATGAATGTAATGTTGGGATAAACATTAATGGTGTTGGCTTTTCAATTAATGATGGTGATATTGGATAATAATAATAGGGCGCTGGCCCATATGGATGACCATTAGTATAGTATGGTGAACGATGGTATGGCATAGATGAATATTTAACTTTTGAATTAAATAACTTTCTTGATCCATTTCCATTTTCATCATGATTAACTGTTGTTTCTGTTGCCTCTTTTTGCTGTTGTTTTTGTTCTTCATCGGTAGTTACTATTGATGGACTAGTATTTACTAAAGCATCATTATTATTAATTTCATTATTTATATTAGTCTTTTGTAATTCAGACGTTAAATCATTACTAGAATAAAGAAAAAAAACAAATATTACTTTTAATTAATAGAAAATATTTTCATTGATATCTAGGTTAATCTCAACCAAAAGAACTATCTCATAGTATATGAAACTAAACAAATCGCTGTGAATTATTGCTTACCTTTGCCCCTTTTCATTGAGTTCTTCTTGTTTTTGATCACTATGTGATGATCTATAACAAATAAAAAATTAAAAAAACAAATAAAAATCCAATTAAAGTTTCTTACTTTTGTATAGTTGTTGGTACTAATAATGAATCATTATTATTTAATGATGAATGTTCATTTTCAATAGCACATTGCTTTGAATCAATGTTAATCTCATTCTTGTGATCGTTTTCACTTAAACTCGTCATTGACAAAGCACGAACAAAATAAATTTGTTGTTGAAGAAAGAAAAAACGTCAAAAGACAAAACAAAATTAGTACGAAAAAAAAACGACGTCAAAGATGGAAGAATAATAGAAAATTTTCTTTTTCTGGCTTGTTTTTCGTTTCAAACAACAATAGATGATAGTCGACAATAATTATAATAATAAATTAAATATTTATCAAAATGAAGCAATAATTCATATGCATAAGACTTATGCATCAGGTAACAAAAATGAGTTTAATAAACAGATGATGGAAATAGAAGATGATGATAATAATAATAAATCAAACATATCGTTTTCTAAAATAGATTAATCAAAAATGCAGATTAGTCGTTAGGTTTTTTCTCTTTAGGAGCAAAACGACTTAAATAATAAATAAAGATAATTATGTTCTTAATTTTTTTTTCTTCTCTATTATCAATTGTTTTGTTTATATATCGATGAAAACATCGATAATTTAGTATGTTGTAACAATGACAAAAAAATGGTTTATCACTAGATAGTTATATATATTTTACAAATATACAGGATTTAATAGAAAAGAAAACATCTTTTGTGTAAAGCACCGGTTCAATATAATTGAACACAAAGAGAGAGAAAAATCATGTAACTTGCTAATTTAGAGAAGAAGGCATCCGATTTTCTTTGTATAAGATAATTTAAAACTGGACGAGTGAAATGAAAATCAGCATGTATGGAAAGCGTTTTGATTTTCATTCTATTCAAGGAAGTAATTGACGCATAAGTTCATTTGAATCTAAATTCGACGGTGAATCAACATCAACACTAAGTGGATTGTCATTTTCTAAAAAAAAAAAGATATCCAATCATGTATCAATAGAACACTACATTCAAGAAAATATATTTGTTACTGGTACTAAAAATCGTATGTGTTTGAGTAGGTTTTACTCTAAAATTTCTTAAAAACATCATTAAAGAAAATAAATTATAATAATAATTCTTTACTTAGTTTTATTTCTTGCAACAATTATTTCAATTTCATCATTCCATGGATTTATAAATGGTTCAAATATGGTTTGTAGAATAATATATGTATTATCTTTCGTCCGAAAACGATAATTACCACTTGTTCCTATCTGACGATCATGACAAACTTAATTAGTAATAACAAAAAAAAAGATGATTAAATAATTAAAAAAAATAAAGTTTCATTTTTATTATGTATCTTTTTTGTTACCTCGATTCCATAATTCATTTATTTTGTTTCGATCATCTTCATGTATAAAATCTCCTAAATTCATACCAAGAAGTTCTTGTGATAAATAACCCAATAGAGAATGACATCTAAATAGAAATTTATGTATAATGAAAAAGTCATATTATATCAAATAATGTATAGACAAACGAAACTGACAAAAATTTATAATAATCATTTATTTACAAGTAATGCTATTCGATATAAATAGTCAACCCAACAACTGTGAAATAAAGCAAGATCAAAGGTAAATGGGTGTAGTATTTGTTTATATATTTCTCATTGACACAGGACAGTTCAGCTCACCTATTGATAATATATCTCAATTCGAAGAAAGACATCCCATACAAAAGCAACAAACTTCGCCCCCTATCTCACCTATTTGTTATCGACCCAAAATTTGGTTATTTTTTCGTTTAGAAAAATATCGAACATCGAGGATTCTTAGTTTTAATAAACCAAGAAAAAAATCTACAGTAAAATAATTCATACATTTCATTTTTCTAACCTTTGTTTTTCACAATTGTTCTATAACGATTTTATTTAAAAAAAAAAACAGCAATTTATTCAGGCAAACCATATTAAATACAATCATTTTTCTTTCTGTTCTTCAACCCTGATAAGAAGATCGATAAAGAAAAAAAAATTTTCTTTTTTGTTGTTTTTTTATTTATTATTTGTTTAATCGTAAAACATTGGTAGAAGATACATTTTAAAATAGAATCAATTAATTATAATAAAAGAAAACATTTTTTTTCAATAGTCTATCTTTCAATCACTAGATTTATATAATTCTTTTATTCATTAGAATTGATAATGTATGTCCATTATTTAGGTTGAACATGATTTATAAGGAATATTATAGTAAAAAGAAAAAAAAATTTTGACCTCTGTTTATGGATATATCAACATATTATGGAATCGTAATAGGCAGACATGATGATAAAGTTTGTATAGGAAAAATGCTCCGAAATTTATTCATATATTTTTATCTCTTATGCAAAACCACCCTACATATATGACGTACTTTTGATCAAAGTACATGTCCTTGGAGTACGGTTAACGTAACACAATGTGACTCATTGAAAAGCGGGTACAGATTTAGTTCACATATTTTCCAACACATGAAAAACAATATAACGAGTCATCGATGATGAATGACCAGTTTTTGTATTTTTTATTTTTACTAATTAGTTACAATAAAAATCTTTCTATTTCGATATATATATATATATATATGAATCCTTTGTTTTTCAAAATGAAAAAAACTTTTTTTTTTTTAGAAACTTAATTGTTTCTTTTTATTAAACGATCGATTCGCTGTTTTATCTCATCGATCGAAGATAATGATCTTCATTGACGAGAAAAATACTCTTCATTAGGGACATGTTTATACTACAAGTCGACAGGAAGCAGACAGGAAAGAGAACATTAAACAAAAGGCTAAGTATCCAAAAAAAAAGAATTATAACGTTGTTTTGATATATCTAAGAATGATCTAACGTATCATCCAATTATTTTTAAACCTAGTCAAACATTATTATATGACAATTATATTGAAGTTATTCTCTTACATGTGTACTCTAAAGTAAGATGTTTCTTGAGTAATGTTTTCATCTATGAATAAGATAACGGCATGCTATATACACTCTAGGAATCATTGACATGGTGTGAAAAGAATTCCATGTATTTTTATAAACAATCACAGATGGTTACCAAACAGCCATGATCTCCATATTTAGGATTATTACATGTAGAATGGTATTATTAATTAATAAATATGAAATGGAATAAAATTAAAAACTATGATTTTTTAATTGACGAAATGACAAAAAAAATTCGTCATGCACTGGAAAAAAAAATAATCTACTGTACAATGTCGAAAATAAATCGTGTAAAATTTTGTCAATTGTAACGACAAAAAATTTCTATTGAAATTCATCAAGCACTTTATGTTGCATCTTGTAGAATTATTATGTGTTTGAATAACATGTGTTAAGTGAGAAAAAAAAATACAAATATGTGTCCATTGATTATCGATCACCCATTAATATTCATCATTCTTTCAAATCTTTGTTTTTTAAGTGTAAGAATTTACATTTCAATCGTTACTATTTATTCACTCATGTTCTTGTTCTATAAAAGAAAAAAAATAACCATTCGCCTACTAACTACTCTTATATCGTCTAAGAATAAATAATCAAAAAAAAAAAAAACCCAGAACAACTTACATTTGATCGAAATATGTAAATTGTCCGTCAGGATTTAATTTGCATAAAAACATTCTATCAATGGTATTTATATTTTCATGAGTTTGATTCGATTTTTCAATCCGTTTGCATAAATTACCCATTGTTATAAGACATGAAACAGGATTAGTTCCAATAGCATTTACAACATCGGATGGTGTTAATGCACTAAAAGTTGACTGTCGACGATCAGTTCGCGGTTTTATTTCATTTTCATTATCATTAACTAAAGAATATTGTTTTATATAACCAACAAAATCGATTGTACTATAATTATCTATAGAAAAAAAAAAAAAGAAATTTAGTCGAAAGAAAAAAAAAAAAAAAAAACACATAAAACATACTAACCTATTGGATTAGTCGTTATTGTTTTACTTGATCGTTTTGTTTTCGATTTAATACGACAAGAAAATGTACGTCGATTTCCTACTTCTAAACAATTTTGTTTCGTTGTTATTAAAGGAACATCTTAAATAAATATTATTTTCTTAGAATAATGAAAAAAAAACAAGAATTTCTTTTACTTTTTGAATCACTTGATGGTTCTTCATTTGTATTGGATGATATCTTTTTTTCACACATTAATTGTTGTTTAACTATTTCAATATCATCTGGATAGATAATATCAAATATTGATTGTGAACATAATTCATTCTTTATACAAAAAAAAAAAAAATAAATAAATGAAAAAAACATCAAACGAAGATTTCTTTTTGGTACGAACTGGTTTATATCCAAGTGTTGTTTCAGTTGAACTTGATGCATAACAAATTCGACCTTTTTGACATTCAATTATAAGAAAAAAATATGTGCCTAATTGATCAATTGTTGCTAATATTAATTCAAGTAATTCATTATCATTTAAATATATTTGTTTACCAAAACCGCTTGATGAAACTTTTGAAGTGGTACCTATAAACAATAAGAATCTTTAATTTTAGTTTAAGAAATATATTTCTTTTCTACCTTTTAAATGTTTTATTGTATCAACAGCAACACGTAGAACGGTTAATTTATCGAGTTTTTTAACTGCATCTATTGGAAGTAATTGGGCTATTTCATCTATATAACGATTCATTTTTTCTCGACGACGACGTTCTATTTCACTATGAGTTATTCTTATAATATAAAAAGAATTCTATATATAGATATAAGTTATTGAAAATATAAATTATACTTTCGCATTTTGTCACTTTTTGTATTTGTTGATGATTTCGATGTTTCTTCATCATCAGATTCGTCTTCTAGATTCATTTCACTTTTCGATTGAACGTCCAGACTAGAAAAAGTAAATAAATAAGACTAAAAAAACACAAAATCTATCATATGATCTATAAATAAAGTATACAACATCGCATTATAAAAGTAAATTCTTACACGTTAAGAAGTTGCTCAGGAGCCATACTTGAGGTTTTCAGTTAAATAGATATCTATACGTATATATATATATATCAGAGTTTAACAGATTCTACGACACCCCCTTATAAATAGGTGTGTCTCATCGACGTTATTCGATAAAATGATGTTGCTGGCTGGCAACTGATGTTAAGGCTATAAGTACGATTACAATGACGATGTTGTGTACACTATTATTATCGACAAAGAGCAAAAGTCGATCAAGAAAAAGAAAAGTTCTAGTCACCTGAATTCAACCAATTGAAACAGAAAACCAATAAGAAAAAATGATGAAATTATCACACAAATCAATAGTTCACTTGATGTTTATAGCTGTTGTGATATTTCACCCTTTTCAATAACAACAAATCGATAAATGTTCGTAGCTAGGTCAATTGTATAGCCGTTGCTGTGATAGATATAGATCGGTAACGCTGCTTGAAGATGAATCAATAATCTGAAAAGGTCACTCAGCACTTTTCTTTTTTTCTGTTTGTTTTCATCTGATTGCTATTGTTCAACACGTACCCACGTTCTTTACTACCTTGTTACTTCTTGTTCTATATTTTTTCTTTGCTTTCTTATTCTTCTCTCATATGGTTAACGTAGTTGTAGATGGTTGGATGTACGTCAGCAAAAGTAGCCATCTTGAGCATCAGGCCAATGTTCGTCGACGACAACAAAAAATATATATATTTATTTGTATAAAAAATTCATACAATTAATCATAAATTATATATAAATGTTAGGTTTTTCAAAAACGATTCTATTTATTTTTAATTATAGGAGAGAAAAATATATATATACAATATGCAATGGATATATACGGCATCTATTGAATCTAAAGTGACCTGATTATGTATTTTAAGAAATAATTAATTATGACACAAGGAATCTATGTTCTGTCAAGTCTTTTTTTTTCTCGTTTGTTTTTCGTTGTCGTCATACATTGAGTCTCAATAATCAAGAAACGAGGGGGCAAGTCAGTCTCATATATTAAATAGGCGTGAATGGATAAATGAAAGATTTCTCATTTGTAACAGGGTCAAAATGCAGGAAGACAATATAAGAAAAAAAACACTTGATAAATGATGCGATGATGATGATGATAAAACAGCAACCGTTTATTTCTATCACAGACAAATTTATAAAAACTTAAAATAAGAAAAATAACATCATATTATACATATATACAGTTCGGTGAACTATAAGAATAAATTTTAAGAATACACGGAATAAAAAAAAAATACATTAACATTTCTTTTTAATCAAAGGCAAACATCATTTCTGATAAACAGATATCTATCAAGAAGGAAGCGGGTGGTGTCCCAAGTTGGGAATGGGTGGGTCTGACTGTTACCAATCTTGAAAAGCTTTCGTTTTTCTTCAGCAGAGTTCCAGTATTTTGTTGGGTTTTTTTTGTCAGCCTATTCCAAAATAACATTCAACATATTCCTCAAAATTTAGTCAACTTCAGCAAATACATAAGCTCGAGCTTTTTACTAATTTGTTATATTTATAATATTATTACTAAATAAACTTTTTTTTTGCAAAATTGAAAAACAGATCGTTTATTCTGAAATCAAACATATAATTTCTTCTCATTTAGTACAAATTTATTTTTAAATGATCTGTTCTCACACATGTAATAAGAAAGTGAATGAACAATAAACTTTTTTTGAGAATTGTTACAATCAAATATTCGAGAGATTTTATTATTTGACGCTAGTAACAAGATAAAGAAAAGGTAAAATTACACAAGATGATAACAAAATAAGTTACTGAAAAACTTATATTCAAGATAAAGACTTTGATCCTTATCAAAAGTTTTTAATAACTGTTTCTCGTGCTTATATCAACATTATTAAACATTTTAAAGGTTGCAGCGATGAAGAACAACTCTTCTATGTGTCTATATTGTCAATATGAGTTGTTTTCAATCAAACTTGTTGGCTATTTGATAACTAAAAAGTGTTTGCAATTTCTAAGTGAATTAAAAAGGAGATCAACATCAGTGTCTCTTTTCCACATCCCGAACACTTTTGCCCTAATCATAAGCTTCACTTTAGTTCATCATCAGGACATAACCGACATAAAACAGTAATTCCATCAAAAGTTTTCTGTGTGTTTTCACACATTAAAAGAAAAATATAGAGTTGTCATTACTAGATAAAAGATTTTAGCATTTAGAATGATGATTTTACTTTGTTTGAATCTTTGAATTCATCATCAGAAAGTTACAATATGTTTCTTTGAATTCAGTATTTTTCTTTCATTTCTATGGCATACAAAATGAAATGACATATTGTATTCTGCTGATCATATGAAAACAATTGTCAATCAAGAAATAAACCTTAAGGGTACCCTCCCCTTTCCTCGCCCAAAATTTTTGTTTTTTTTTCATTTTTAGTTTTTTGTGGCTATTGTATAGTTTCAAGTACTGTGTATCTACTGAGTATATTCTGGAACCCAACAATTGCTTTTAAAGATTAAAAAATTCGAGAAAAAATTAAATTTACATAGTGAAAATAGCTAAAATTTTATATTTTTTTTTTTTGCTTTTTTCTCAAAATTAAATTTCTAGTAGGAAAGGTACTGTTTCGCCCCCGTTTCTCTGACATGGTCAGAGAGATCGAGCTGGAAGTTTTTTTTTACATATTCTACTCACCATTTGGGGTGAGTATTTTTTTTTCTTTTCAAGAACTATTGCTCTAGTGATTTTTCGCAGCTTTCACAAAATTTACTAGAGGAATAAAAACAAGCGTTTTTTAGGGTAGGCTCAGTATTTTGACTTTTTTATTGAAACCACAAAAGATAAAAAGAAACTAAAAAAAAACATATGCACCCCAAACAGTATCTATTACCCGTAAAAAATTTTCAGCTCAATCGAAGATACCGTCTTGGAGAAACGGGGGCGAAAACTAGAGCTATTTTTCGACATTGTGACCCTATTATCTCATAGAAGACAGCATCAGAGACGTTTGAGTCTATGACAAATTTTGCTGTACTCGTCAAGATCCATCTGCCCTGAAAATTTCAAATTTTTCTGATGAGCCGTTCTCAAGAAACCCCGGAAAGGGGGAGTATACCCTTAAGATACATTTTTACATTATCATTGGACTTTTATTTGTCAATCGTCAACAGGAATGTATATTCTGTTGTTTTACTCTTCCATGATTTCAAACAAAGGACAGCTGTTAAAACGTTTGATAAGCGCTTTACAACTAACAATTCTGCAATAAACAGAAGAGTAATAAAATAAAGTGATTACAGCCTTATTTATGATGCATGTGACGATATAGACTAATCATTTGTTGTAGTAACGAATCAAACAAGCTGAATCCTTACTCTATATATAAATAGAAGCCTTTTGTGTATTCGAAAGTAGTGACACTTTAGAAACATTTAATTAAATCTATAAACACAGAAAACAAAACCATGCAAGCTAGGGCCAACGTTTATTCTCAAAAAACTACTGTCATCACCAGTCAACCGGCAGATCAAGAAATCGATCCATTTCTAACAATGACTAACGAATGGCATTCAGGCTTATGTAGTTGTTGCGAAGATATGTCCCAATGTAATATCATTGTTTTTTATGGACACATTGTTTCTAATAGGTATATATATATATGTGTGTGTGTGTGTTTTATAGGTTCCTATGCATATTTTTGTTGGTGTTGCTTTGTTGGTTCATTAGCGAGTTCGATTGATGAATCTATATGGTCATGCTTATGTGTTCCATCTGCTCTTGCTATGTATCGCATGAAAGTCCGATCCATTTTACATATTAAAGTGAGTTA